TTGGGCAATACTTCTGCAGGGACCACCAGAGGACCAACATCCAGTTGCCTACATCAGCCGCAAGCTGCTGCCAAGGGAGAGGCCGATATGCAGCTGTGGAGAAGGAAGCCTTGGCTATTAAATGGGCCCTTGACTCATTCAAATATTATTTGCTTGGAAGAGAATTCACCTTCAAACTGATCACAGAGCCCTCCAGTGGCTAGAAAAAATGAAAGACACTAATGGCAGAATCACCAGATGGTATCTTGCTATGCAGCCATTTCGCTTTAAGGTTCACTACATTCCCGGCAAAGACAACATCACTGCTGATTACCTTTCTCGGTGCCAGACTGAAGACCAGGAAGTGGGGGGGTGTGTGATGGCCAAATTCATGGCCACACCCTGAAGTCAACAAGAAGTGCTAATTGGATTACACCAATAGTTCCTGCAGGCAGGGGGATATGGTAGTTTGTTTGGATAAGTTTTGTATTTAAGAAAATATTAGTATTTGACGTTTGTTTTTGATTTTCATTTTTGGATCTTTAGTTTAGCCAAACTTAGCTGTACTATTTGTTTTGTGTTATTTGTATTTGTTTAGTTACCCCTATTGTGTCATGGTCTGATCAGCCAGTATATAAACCCCTGTGTGTCATTTCTTTGTTAGGTCAGTTATGTTTGTTTGTGCAGTTGGTTTGCTTACACTTTTGCCTGAGTTCAGTTTTTGTTTCTTTGACCTCTCTTATGAGCTCAGTTTATTTTTTGTCATTTATGATTTTTGGGTTGAAATAAAAACCCTATTTTTCTAAATATATCCTGTGACTCCTCCTGTTTTAACTCGGTCCATCACACCCCTGCTAACTTGGAGAAATACAGAGTGAAGAAGGATTTCACCTTTTATACGTAAGGACACTTGTTCTCTGAGTCACTATAATTTTTATATGAACAGGACAATAGACAGATGATGCAAATATCAGCAGGCTCAGAAATTACAATGCATCTCCCCTACATTAATACACTTGACAGTTAAGCGTGATATAAAATATTCTACATAATGGGCCTCGGTTTTGTAAAGCTTTAAGTTATTATAGTGTTAAAAGAAAAATATGGCAATTTCAAACCAGCTGCGGAGAACATGTTCATCACACTGAAAAACTGTCGACAAATATGACTCAATAAACGTGTAAAAACCGTAACTATTTCAATTAATTTGCGAAATAAAACCCACAATTTTAGGGCTTACCTGGTCAGTAAACGTGATAGTGTTACAAATATCTTTAAAAGTTTCCTCTTCGGTCGGATTTCAGCCCCTTTTCTCATCAAAATGCGAGTTTAGAGCGATGCGCTAACTTACTGACTTGCTTTGGGTGCCCTTGGTGCAAAGGTTTAACTAGAACACTGCATGCTTTAAGGATTATAATGGGCCATCACTAACTCAAGCACATTAACATGGGCTCTAAATTGCCATTCCGATTTGACTGGCAATTTTAAGGTCAAACTGATGAAGGCTACTACTCCAGAGGTCCTGGGTATAGAAGGGGCAGTTCTGGAGGATCTGCCAGTTTCGGCGTTGGATCAGGCGGCGATGTTGGCTCTGGTTCTTCCACCAGCTTCTCTGGTGTCTGTGCTATCGACTTCAGCCACCCAGGAAGCAGAGATTACTAAAATGGTGGCCAGCCTGCTAGGCCTGAGTCCCAACGGTAGGCATCGTCTCCTGCAGGGTTACTGGAGCGCTCACCGTATTCCTCTGGGAATGGTTGCGACCCGCCCTGTACACCCTTCATCCCCCGTCACGACGAGGGTGAGATCTGCTTGTATTAGAGAAATTGAATTGTATCGACTCATTTAACTTGTTAATTTCAGGATTTGGAACATTAAACAGAAATAGTCATTCAAAAATGTAGAAAGCAAGGAATTTTGAGAAACCCTCCCAGGAGTGACAGACAGAATTAATTTTTTCCAGAGAGCATTCTTCTGTCAAAAGACACAACAATATCAAATATTGCAGGCTTTAGTTAAGGTCAGTATCTTATAAGATGGAATGTAGACAGTTTATGACCTAAAGCTCAAGCACACTTGCACAGCATAGAGAATGAACCCACTTTCCACACACCCTTCTCCAAAGAAATGTGGTATTCCTTATTTGGTATGTTGGAAGAACATGTAGAAAGAAACCAACATGCAAGTCAGTCCGAGTTTTTCTAAGAAATGTCCTGACCCACACAGACAGCAGCTAGCTGCAACAGTTAACACTAAAGTGGAGATTTGAACATGCATGAATTCGCACTGAAACCAATCTGAAGAGCTTCTTGATGCTCCAGCATAAATAAACGTCCACTCGAGCAATCAGAGATATCCCACGAGTGTGAACGATGTGCGGTGGCCGTCCTTAAAGCTGATGGCGGCAGAGATCAAGAGGAGCTGCGGATGGACTCATCGCTTCTTTAGTTTCCTCAGTAACTGGATCTGGAGGCGTTGAGACGTCTCTTTCCAAATGGCTGTTTAGCATATTAAGCTTAACTTCAGTTGAAATAAAGACTGTTCAAACCTAACTGTTAAGTGTAAATTTCTGGGGGGGAGCATTCATCTATCTCAGCTGTCCAATAAGCAAAAGGTACCGGGACGGTTGGATCATGTCAAAACAATGCCGGCTTTCTTCTGCTGAAACTGGAAGCAGCATCAGCTCCTGCGTGTGTGTGTGTGTGTGTGGGTGTGTGTGTGTGTGTGTGTGTGTGTGTGTGTGTGTGTGTGGTTTGTTTCTCTGACAACACATTAAGCCAAGTGGGACAAAAGCTTCAAACGGTACTCGCACCTGCACTCTGTTCAGACCAGAGGTCATTGCCCCAGTGTGGAGTCTCAGACCGGCGCACACAGCCTCTGAGTTCAGCACTGAACAATGACATCCAGAGACACCTCACCAGTAAGGCAAGGCCCTGTTTTGTTGCTCCTGTGTTTAATGGCTCTGGCTCACTGATTCACAGGTGGAAAAAAATCAGAACGTCGTCTTGTATTCTGATGTTCACAGTGGAACATGTGGGGCAGATGAAAGGAGTTGATGTAAACTAACTTCCAAGTTCCCTATTTTTTTTCTGGACCAATTAAAATGAACAAAAATGTAGTTAAGGACTAAGTTTTTATTTATTTTTTTTATCTTTCCTGTACGTTTTGACTTTTGTTTTCTGAATTAAAATCAGCCTAATATTATTCCTTAATTGATCATGCAAGTTCAATTTGGCAAGGATTCAGCAAAGCAGGTCTCACAAGCTTTCTTAATGTTTCCATCTTTCTCAATTACAACTGTTTCATTTATGAATCTAGTTTTTAATGTGTGTGTACACATGCATGCTCCCTGGCATTTCCACTTTTTTTACCGTCTCATTTTCTTTCTTTGATAAACCTCTCTGGCTACGTATTTGGAGTGTGTTTTTATTGAAGAGTGTTTGCTTCTGCACAAATTAAACTAATGGGACTTCAACTCGGACTCGGCCACTGAGTCCTCACAGCAACGGAGCTGATGGTCCGTAGATTTCATTTCACCTTTGCCCAAAAGCACCCCTTCCGGAAAGCGAAATTGTTCATGGATTTACATGAGAAATGGATGGAGTGGAGGAGCTGTTGGACCCAAGTGAGGCTTCTCCTCAGCAACAAAAACAATGAAACATTCAGATTCTCAGTTGCAGCCAAAAACCACAGATCTGCTTCATTCTAATTCAGTTTCTCAGGCATGAGATGGACGACCCGAAGCCCTGACAATCACATGAAGAGGCAATCAGCCTTAGAAGTTAGTGAGATAATTGCTGCCAATTATCCTTCTGTCTATGAGACATCTTTAACATATCAAAGACAGCAACACTCACATCAAACAACATGATATAAGTTGGAAGAGCATCAATTACACAATACAGCCTCTTGGGGGTTTTGTGCATTAATGTGTTGGCATAAAACTAATTTTTGGGGAGTTTGCATTCAATTGGCAACAACACCGTTTTACCGACTAAAATTATTTACAGTCGGTATTCAAATCAGCTGCTGTATCATTATCATGAATTTAATAAAAGAATGAAGCATTAGGGGTGTCTAATATCAGAAATATCAGAAATGTTCAATTCTGACATTAGATTTAGCAGCAGTTTTTCAATGGCAGACTTTCTGAGCCTCATTCAGAAAGAGAAAGTCATGAGAGAGTTGTTATAACGTGTCTAAGAAGGTTTTTGAAATTTGAGTCTGAAATTTGAGCATTAAAAAAATTGAGAGAGGATGTCGAGGCGATGCAATGATCATCAAAAATAACAGAAGTTTCATGCAAACTTTGAATTCCAGTGTGTTATATATTCATTTAGAGTGTTGATTTTTGACTTTGGCGGCTTACCTTCCATCACTGTCAAGGACATGTGTGTGTAGGTCATAATCATGACAAGAAACACCTGGAATATTTCATACTGTGTGTAAGGGTCAGTTTATGCGATTCATTTTTTTAATTTAATAACTAAAAGAAATGATTCATTGCACTGTTGCCTTGCAGCAAAAAGGTCCTGGGTTCGATTCCCGGCCTGGGGCCTTTCTGCACGGAGTTTGCATGTTCTCCCTGTGCATGGTGGGTTCTCTCCGGGTACTCCGGCTTCCTCCCACGGTCCAAAAACATGGCTGTCAAGTTAATTGGTTTCTCTAAATTCTCCCTAGGTGTCTGTGTGTGTGTGCATGGTTGTTTATCCTGTCTGCCAGGACAGACTAGTGACCTGTCCGGGGTTTGTACCCCACCTCTCGCCCAGAACGTTAACTGGAGATGGACACCAGATAATCTTGACCCCTCTGGGGACAAGGGTGTAAAAAAATGAATGGATATATCATTTTTAATATTCTATCTGATTGGGATGTGTTCACTTGTGCAAATGACTTTGCAGAGGAGCCAGATAAAATGTTAAAAAAAAAGGGGGGCGATAATTTAAGGTGGTACATCTTCTAAAACAATCTGATATATTTCCAGGTAACAGTTAATAAATTAACAGTAAATTAACTGAAAACCCTCAAAGGTCCTGGATCTGACCCGGAATATGACAGCAGTCGTTGTGATCTGAGGAGCTAAAGGGCATCATGTCTAAAGAGATCTCCGGCTCGCACTCAAACTGCAGGAGGGCGGGGAGCAGCAGATTCCGCTGGTTCCGGGGATATTCGGAAAGTTTGTCGAAGTTCTGCTGAAGCTCCCCGGCCGTGTGCGCCGGGACGAGTCTCTGCGGCCCGGGACCCCCCGTCGTCAACTGCTCCTTCTGCAGCGTGGTGTCGTGGTGATAGGACGCCAGCTCGTTGCTGAAGTCCACCGTCTCCACCGCCGAGGCGGAGCAGCATCGGTTGCAGCCCAGGATGGTGGAGAAGGCCTTCCGGAAGTCCGCGTTGAACGCGTAAATGACCGGGTTCAGGGACGAGTTGGCCCAGCCGAACCACACGAAGATGCTGAAAGTGGTGTCGCTGACGCACGGCGTGGCTCCGGGCTGGTCCGAGTTGCAGAACGGCACCACGCAGTTCAGGACAAAGAACGGCAGCCAGCAAAACACAAACACCCCCATGATGATGGACAGCGTCTTTAGAACCTTAGTTTCCCGCTTGAAGGTCTTTTTCAGCGCGCTTTCGGTTTGCGTCGAGGTGGAGAGCCGCTGCGTCTGCGCGCGGGCTTCTGGAGCCTTCTCCAAAGAGGAGATGCGTCTTATCTGGGTCTGCGCGATGCGGAAGATCCGCGTGTACGTGCCCACCATGATGACCACGGGGATGTAGAAGCTGATGAGCGAGGAGGAGATGGCGTAGGTCCGGTTCAGACTGGTGTTGCAGTCGCCTGGGCCCGTGCGGTTGGAGTTGTGCGCGCGGTGCCAGCCGAGCTGCACCGGGATGAATGAGATGAGGATCGAGAGCGTCCAGGCGACGCCGATCATCAGGAGGGCGAACCTGCGCGTCATCCGGCGCTCGTATCTGAACGGGCTGGAGATGGCCCAGTAGCGGTCCATGCTGATGATGCACAAGTTGAGGATGGACGCGGTGGAGCACATGATGTCGAAAGCCACCCAGGTGTCACAGAAGCGCCCGAAGAGCCAGACGCCGGCCACCTCGGAGACCGCGCGCCACGGCATCACCAGCACGGCCACGAACAGGTCGGAGACCGCCAGCGACACCACGAAGGAGTTAGTGACTTTGGAGCGCAGGTGGCGGAACTTGATGACGGCGGCGCAGACCAGCGTGTTGCCCAGCAGAGTGGAGACGATCAGGACGCACAGGACGCAGCCGGTCAGCGCGCGGACGCCGAGGACCCGGTCCGGGCCACCTATGTCGCCTCCGGCCGCCTCCACCTGCGGCGGGCTCAGTGGGCCTCGGAGCTCCAGGATTTTACTGATATTTAAAAACGTTCCCATGAATAGAAAAAAAAAAAAAGTCAAACTCAGCACGCCCTGTCAGTCCCACCGGACGCGTCCATCCTATCCGTGTTTCAGACGGAACTCAGCGGAGAGATGCGCTCCGGTCAGAATCCGGGGACTGAATCTGGAGAGTCTCGGCGCAACAGATTCAGTCAACCCAAGATGTTTCACTTCTCCGTTCCCTCAGCTTCACTTTAAACCTATATCAACGCATTCAGCATGGCTGTTTTATTTTACAGAGATTACGCTGAAGACGGTGACGCAACAAGAATTAATGATAAAAAAAATGTTTTTGTTAGAAACTGATTTGCTTTGATTCAGTGTATTCATGTCACAACTTTTATAAGTAATTAAATGAACTCTGTGGTCAAATGACTTTCGTTTAGTGCAGTATAGAAACAGAATGTGTATTTTTAATTTCTAATTAAAAATTTCATTTACAATCTGTTACAACTGTTGAGTCTATCTGACCCACCAAAAGTGTCACAATTTCAAAGTCTCAATATTTAAAGGCACAATATTTACTGTTCATAAGTTTTACATGCAACAGTCCACATGCAAGTAGGTTGCATAAATGTTTCTATTAGTTTTAGATCACTGAAATGTCTCTCCTCACAAGCAGCAACATGCAAAATATACATGAAGCAATCCAGTCTTCTTCAAGCTGCAGTATATAACGTAAATTTAAAAAAATGTTTTCTCCATATTTGTTAAAGCTGGCACTATGTGGACAGTTCTGAGACAGATAATCTGTGAAAACAATCAATCTCCTCCACCTGCTTCCTGAGCCACTATTACTGGCTTACCAAAAACAACCAATCAGGACAGGTAGGAGGGTCTTAGCGCTGTCAATCAACATAATTCATTCACTGCTGGATGTGCTATCATTACAGGAAAATTGTTTTTCTGCTGTCATTGGTAGCTATGCTAACTAGACTAAGCATTTACAACAGCCTATGCTCGCTGCAGTGTAGGGATGAGCAGCCACATGAGATTGTGATTGACAGCACTAAAACACTCCTGTCTCTCATTGGTTGTTTCTCAATACCACTGGGAAAAGGCAGAGAAGACAGATTTTTTCACAGATTATCTCTCATGCCAAACTGTCACATAATGACAGTTTTAACAAATATGCAAACAAAATATTTTTTCCTAGAAGTTGCATACCGTAGCTTCAATGTCACTTTGGAGAGGACGGGTCAGGAGGGAGGCGGGTTAGAGCTGCTGCTGACTGACTCACCTGTTGTTAAGTGGTAAAAGGTACAGGGACACTCATTAAATATATGGAGATGTTGGTAATCTCTTTCTTGAATCCATTAAATGCTAGTGAAATGGAGGCAAACAGTATTCTGTAGCTAAGCTGACTATGCTGAATGGTTGATAATCTCACACAGTCTCTCTCGAGAAAAACTGGGTTACAAATGGACACTCTTATTCTTAGCAGCATAGTAACTGCCACAGTCGTTCTTGTTCTTGACCCTGCTTAACACCGTCAAGCTCCAAGCAGGAATGAATCATCTCATGCAGATGCAGGGAAATATGTGCTTTCTTTTTTTTTTTTTTTTTGTCAGGGAGGGATAACAATTAATTCTTACTGCTAAAAACAATTTTAGAAAACAAAATATGGTCAACTTTGTAATTGACAGGGCCCCAGTTTTTTTTTATTTCTATGAAAAAAATAAAAAATTGTGGAGGGCGCCCTGTTTGCCAGGAAGCCGTGTTTCCCACTGTTTCCCACTCGGGGGCGCCCCTGAGTGGGGAGTCTATCCAACCGGAGAAGGATTTGAAAGTGAAGCCCAGAAAACGAAAAAAGGTAAAACTCTGCCCTCTGCTGGACAGACATTGATACAACAGCTTAACTTCTATATTTTTCGTCTCCGAATACAAAACGTTTTTATGTGAATCTTTCTCTTAACAATCTGGAGTTTCATATCGCTTTTTTCCAGAATAGAGGGAGCTATTGATTCTTTTATTTTTCGGTTTTTGTTTGTTTTCCTTTAAAGCTCATTCCAGTATTATTAGAGGTCTAGAACTGGAACTAGATTTGGGCTAAAAGTGAACCTTTTTCCAGATTATTACCTGAAAGAGTTCATTTGAATTCAGACTTCAGCAGCTTTCAGACCGTATTTACCTCCCAGCTGTCGTTTAAAACAGCATGCGGGCCGCGCGGTCATTAAAGGGTTATGTTTACAGCCGGAAGGTGACGTCAGAGTCAGCTGTGCTTCTGTGTGTGTGTGAGAGAGAGAGAGTGTGAATGATTCAGCAGCTCGCAGCAGCAGCAGGAGCTCCTACTCGGCTCTCTGTCGTGAAGAGCAGCGCCAGCTCTCCGCGAATTTAACCGAACCCGTGTTCTCACATAGGCGCGCGAGGGGTTAGAGGCAAACCCCTGTAGGTGACAAAACATCTCTCGGAAACCCCGTGCTGCGGCGTCCACAGGCCCCGGGCGGGGAGCAGAGGAGACCACAGGCTCCCGCAGCTCCTCATCCCTCCTCTTCCCGGTTCTCCGGGACGTTTTTTTTTTTTTTTTTTACCGCTCTTCATCGCTCTAATTAGGATTCGTGCGTCTTCGTCTGACTGACTCCTGTTGGATTAAACTATAACACGTCTGAACCTACTGACTGTTGATTAAAAACAAACAAACAAGCAAACAAAAAAAGGAAAGAAAGAAATAAGAGCGGCGACATTTCCGGGATTCTAGTCTGGGTCTGATGCTCCGAGCGTCTGCAGGTGAGTGACTCTCCATGAGAAGAATTCGCATGTCAATGCCAACATTTATTGTCACCGTAGCGCAGTAATGTCCGTCTTTAACCACGCATGGGGAAACAGCATGACACTTCGAGTAAGCTAGGGGAGAAATCTTGTGAAACAGTAAAGTGACTACAGATAGAAACGGCCTGTCGGGATGGACCGCAGTGCTCTCTGCAGAGTTGATGCTGTGAAACCATCAGCGAAGCCTCTGACCTCCAGTGGAAGGGCACAATCATTGAAGAAGTTGATTCTTTTACAATTACAACCTTTCCAACAAACTGAAGTCATTTTTAAAAAGATTTTGCATCAACACTTCACACCTCAACTCCTTACAAATACCATATATTTTTGTGTCGAGTGAAAGAGAAATATTTGGTTGTCTTTTTTATTTATTTATCTATTTATTTTTTGCCTGTAGTATTTGGAAGTCCGGCCTGCAGAGTGACAGAGGGGCTTGTTCTGTTGTCCTGAGCTCATGGACAATGTGAGGAATGTCTCCAGAGCCAATTAAGTGTTTTCTGAACAGCCACATTCTTTACATCTTTGGCCCCATTATTCTCAAGTTGAAGTCCCACTGCTTTAAATTTCCTCCAGTGGCCCCCAGAGCAGCAAGGAACATTATGGTTCTGTCATGTGAGGGTTTTTAGCTTCGGTCCAGGCACCAGCTATTTTTAAGCTCAGATCCTTTTGGGGCTTTCTTTGTCCTTATTTTTGTAATGCCAGTTGTTTTTCTGGGACCGGTTTTGCAGTTTAAAAAAAAATACAAAAAATCTGATTTGTTTTGCAGGTTCTGTTCTCTGGTGGATTTGCTCCATAAATTATGTTATTTGGTCATTTTTGCTCTGCAGAATTGATCACGTTGAGCTGATTTTTGAGGCTCTGTTTGTTTCTCGTGCGGTTTGACTTTCCTGTTTCTGTTCCTCGCTCGTCTGACGATGCACCTTTTATTGGTAAGATTGGACAGTTCTTCCGTTCCATAAAAGTGTTCTACAGTTTGTCGGTCCTTTTAACTTGTAGCATTTGATTTCTAAAGGGGGACCAAAAGACGCTTAATTAATTTCATATTTTTTGTTTACATGAGACTTGTACCAACCTTGTTTAATAGTTAAAAAAATTAATATTCCTTAACAAGTGTTAATCCACAGTGGAAAGGTGTTACCACTACCACGAAAGCTAATATCTATAGCCAATCAGCATCAAGTAAAATGAATGGCACTTCATATATTTACTTTGTTTGTGTAGTGGAATTGGTAAAAGTCTTTTTAAAAATCAAAATGTCTTAGTTTTTAAACCTTCTTAACAGTGAGCATTCTATCAGTGCTGCTGGTCGTTTTGTGAAACTCAACCACCAAAGAAGACTGTGGAAATTCTTCTTCTGCTGCGGATTTCAACCGAAAAACCATCAGATTGATGAAGATCTAACGAACGAGCTGTGTTTTTATTGAAACGGACCAGAATAGGATGAAAGAGTTTTTATCTCTTGCTTCTTAAGACCTGGCGAAGTCTCAGTTGTTTGTCTCAGAGTGCAACTATTTATATTCTGAATGTAGGAAATCTGGACACGAGTGTTATGTATTCATCAAAACTGTTCCGAAACCAGATCAGTGATTAGAATGACAATAACATGACTGAAACAATTCCAAATTCAGCAAAAGCACTGGTTCATCAACTGTTTACTTTTATTCTTTTTTCGTGTAAACACGGTATCTTATTTTCGGCCTTTCTGCAAATTTACTTGAAATGATTTTTTGGGGGGTTTTGTTCTGCCCTCTTGTCCTGGACGTTCTCTCCTCAAGTCCCTAAATGCATCGTCCCACTTCCTTCAGCTCTGTGATGCTTTCTGATAAATGTTGAGTCATTTTGTTGTCTGGCGTCGTTATCTGCTAGCTGCGCATTGCAGCTTCGCTCCGCCTGCTCCACTGCTTCTCCGCTGACTTTGTGATCTGTTGGTTCTGCCCGGTTCTCGGTGCCAAGCGGCGGAACACAAGCTGCCTCAGCTGCTGTCAGAGGGAAGCTGCTGACCACTCAGAACGGATCGGTGGAGCTCGTTACGTCCTGGCTGGGATCCAGTCTGTTTATTTTGTATTTTTTCTGTCCGTCTCTCTCAGGAGTTTCCACTTAATTTCTTCCCTCCGGCTGCTTGAATCCCCACAGTGGGGAAGGCTTTGCAGAGAAAGAAAGTTCTACCTCTTTTTGCTTCTGTTTGATATAAACCTGACATTCAGGCCCAGGCATCTGAATTAGATCGTTCTTAGACGTAGTGATTTTTCATGGAGGAAGGGTAGACAATGACTTTGCATCTATGTGATAAAAGATTAAACATTTCCTGTCTGTCTGATTAATAATTTAGAGAAAAAAGTGACATCAAGAAAACCTCTGCAGTGAGGGACTCCTCAGGCGTCCTCCATCATCCACTATTAGATCACATGACCCGAGTTATCTTTAGCCAGAGGCGTTACATTGATAGACATGTTGGATGGGAACTTTCTCACTTCATGTTCTACCATTAAATGGAGATAACTAACAAATGTAATTTCTTTTTCCAGTAGAAACTTTCTCTACAGGATTGCAAGTAACAAGAATTCAATAAAATTGACTTTGAAACAAAACAGTCTGAGGAATTAAAACAAGGGAATATTATTATTATTATTACCATATACCAGTTTCTAACTTTACTTGGTGAGCTGTTGTATAGTTAGATTTTTAGAAGAAACATGTTTTACACAAAACAAATTTCCATTAGCCAATGCTAGCAGTGTAGCATGGGCGCTAAATCCTAATAGGGCTTTTATTTTCCTCTGTCCTCCTTTCCTCTTCCTGTCCTCATTTTTTTCTCCTCCAGTTCTGTTTTCCTGCCACAGACTCTTTTCCCAGTGAGCTCTGATGGATAATTGATGTCGCTGCTCTCAGCGTTGCCGCTGGTGGCAGGAAATGTTTGGTGAATCTTTCCATCTCTCTGCCTGGGTGGTGTCTCGTTCAGCGGTGCTTCCTCTGTCTGACGGAGCCGCTCCGACTGAATCCAAACCGCTGATGAGGAGGAAGAGGACTGATGTCTCATTTTGCATAGATGTAGCACTGTGAGAAATGATAAATCTGTAGCATAAAAAACTGCCAGTTTGTAAATGACTAAAAACACCCCAAAAAAGATTAGAAAACCTTTCCCAGGAAAAAAAAAAAAAAAAAAAAAAAAAAAAAAAAAAAAAATATATATATATATATATATATATATATATATATATATATATATATATATATATAAAAGAAATGCCAATTGTGTAACATAAAATAGAATTTAATTTAAAAACAATAAATGTAAACAGTCTAGAAAATTGCTGACAAAAATATATTAATAAAATGTTAAGCAAGAAGAGGGTAAATAATTCACACAAACATAATTAAAAACACTTGTTACATGTACTTGCACACAAAAAGAAAGAATTGCTGGGAAACTGACTGGACTCAACATCTTATTTTAGGGCGACATGTCGAACACTACTCCAGCTTTGAAGCAGTGCTCCTGCTTTCTATGGAAAATAAACATCAATTTGATCAATCTAAAGAAAAAAAGTAGGAAGAAATTCTTATTTATAGATGTGTTTTTTTTTTTTTAATGTACCGCCACAACAGAAGAAAGTTTTCTGCCTGCCTGAAGGCTCGAGTTGAGTTTGCTCATATGAGGAAAGCTGCTGCTCCGCTGCGGGGCACCATGGTGAAAGAGATGCTTTGTAGAAGATTAATGCTGCTGGTGGAGCTGCAGCACAACAGGAATGTTGTCCATGCCAAGTTGCTGTGAAACCCAGAGGAATGGATAGGGGGCAACGGGGGGGTTTGTGAGGGGCTCCAGTGGCTCCCAGGAAATGCATCCGAACTTCTCCCTCAGAGAACCTAAAAAGTTTAATCATAAGTGTTTCTGTTGCATCCTGGTTAATGCAGGTTGATTTATTTTTATTTATTTATTTTACGCTCTTTGAGGTTGATTTATTATTATTTTTCGCTCTTGAGATAAAAACTGAAAGGATAAACATAAACATCAATTTGATCAATCTAAAGAAAACAATTAAAGTGCAGTCTTTTTGAAACAAAAAGTCAGATGAGCTATAGCTAGAGAAAAGGATGAGCTGTGTTTGTGTTTCGCAGAGCAGCAGAAGCGCGTGAACCAGTTTGACCAGTTACCTGTGGGAAAGAAAACCGCAGCCGAAGGCAGAGAGACCAGGAGAGTCGTGGTGTCATCATGGTTTCAGCGCGTTGGAAGCGTGTGTCAGAGGGCGACGCTCAGTCAGTTGGGATGTTTGTGTCTGTGAGCGGCTGTTGGTTTAATGCCCAGCAAGGCAGGGCATTCATGGAGTGTGTCAAATCAGGGTGTTGAAGACAATTCTAGTAGCCTATTCATAAAAAATGACACTGTGCGGTTTGGTATATTATTATGTTTTTATAAAATTGTATCAATTGCATTCTACTCATTTCTAAATAAAAACTATCAACTCAAAATTACTTATTAAAATGTATTATTTGTTTCAACAGCAAGGTAACAGTATTAAGTAATCTCCTTGGTTTTAACGGCACTGATTGCGAACGACGTCAAAAAGCTAAATTTGGAGCAGTGCATGGCCACGGCCATTTTGATTTTGGAACAACGGAAACTCTTCCACAACCGGAAATTGTTCCACACAAACATAATTAAATCAATATGTTTCAGTTGAAGTTCTTAAAATCTATTCAGTTACCTTAGTATTTTCTCATCATCAATACATTCCATACTTTAATCACAAATTTTGTTGTGGTACAGTTATGTAGTTTTTTTTTTTGTTGGACTTCACAAAACATCAAACGGATGTTTAACTGCAGCAACCAGTTACTAACTGTTAATGTGCCCTTGCTGCCTAGCTAGCTAGCTTTTTGTGCGTCCATCACGGGCAAGTGAAAATGTATCGCTAGTTAGCTCAACAATGTCCGTCGTCACCAGTTAGACTAGAGCGACC